ATATTCACCTGATCTCTAGCTTCCTATGGAGTTGCATACTATGGTTTAGTTTACAGTTGTTCAAAGGGACACCAGTGAGCAGTTCCAGACACTGATCCAACTAGGGTAGATGTACAGTATATAAAAGTGGTTATAACCAAGTCAGAATTAAACCCCATCAATTAATGATGCCTAAAGCTGGGTCCTGGACTTCCACCAAGTTGTAAAACTTTTCTGAAAGATTTCTCTTTATTCAGGACAACAGTTTTATGTACCAAGATGCAGATCTCAATGTTTTTAATCTCCTTTCCAATACAAGTTAGTGAACAATGATATTGTACTACTTGCCTTGGGTGCTTTTGAACCTTTATAAATTCTCCAATTCTGCTCCAGTCAAAACAGCAGCATTGAAAGGTTGTATTTTGGGGGAAATTTTTTTTTTGTTTGCTTTTTTTGTAAGAGGGTGGGTGGATGGATATTAACTTTTACTCTGAGGTTGTGTTCCCAGTGATTTGGTTTTTTTGGGGAACCTAGGAGTTGATGACAGTGGGAGCGTTTAGACAAGAATGTGTGCTGGAGAAAGCGGAAATGTCTTTTTACAGTGCCTATTTAGACTTGGAAATTGAACAGCTGTTGCATTACATCTTTTTTATTTCTACTTAAATTTTGAAATCAAAGCCAGTCCCATATCTGTACCATTTGATTGGTATGTGTTCAATATATTTGTTTTTTTTTCCATAAGGACTCTTTCTGCTTTTTCTTGTGGGGTACATCCTTAATTGTATTAAAAAACAAACAAAAAACCAGCAACAACAAACAAAAATTAAGAACAAAAAATAAAAAAAAAAAATAAAAAAGGAAACCACATTGTCCAGTAACTTTACAAGGATATACCTGGTCTCTTAAGGTGGTTACTTAGCAGTTCAGTCACGTAAAAACTAACATTTGGTTATCAGAGTTTTTAACATGCAGATGTGCTCTAGGAGAAGCCGTATTTCTAATGGCAATCCTGACCCTCCTGAGATTTTCAAAGGCAGAAACATGTGGAATCATCATGATCATGGCACAGCCACTCACTCCTTAATGGCTTCAGTTTCAGAAAGCAGTATTTTGTTTAGGTTCAAGCTGCCTTTATGTACAGGGGTGCTGTCAATTCTGTTGGATTGACGGTACTTTGGGGTGTATCAATTATTCAGATATGCCCTGCTCCCACACAGAAGAATTTAGAGATTGGCAAGGTCTCCTCCTTGAGACGGCACCACCGAGTTACTTAACAGCGATGCTTAAGAGCAGTGTTTATTTGCATTTTCAGCAGGTTCTGCAGGCTCCTCTGTATCTCCCTTAGTCCAAGTGCCTCTGTGGGCCCAATCATGGGTGTATGCTGTCACTGTAAATTCATTGTGTGTATTTTTCCTCACTGTCATTTTCTGTAGGCTCTTCAGTGTGGTCAGAACACGTGTGTGATAATTCTTACACAGTAGATAGGTGATTCAGCAGTATTTTGGCTGGCAGTGAAAGCTAGAACGCCTCCACAAGGACCTGTATCCAGTCACCTTTGTGTAACAAAAGGCGAACAGTCATTTCTAGATACATCTTGCAGAGCAGAATTGCCAGTGAGTAAATGGGTAACTCCTTTCGAATTCCTTTCTGGAATAAAAGTATTCCAGAAGTACTGAGGACCTGTCTCCCCCTGCAGCCAGCCACAAGAAATTTTTGTATTGTAAGGGGCATGTGGGGGCAGGGGGTGCAGAATTTGCATACCGGCAAAATGCTGCTTAGACTCCGTACTAGAAAATTCTGGATTTGCCATTGGTTTTACAAATGGCTTTTAAATTTAATTATGAAAGGGTGGTTGGATTTGGGCCTTCCCTTATTTGTAGGTTTCTGTGGGGTGGTAAGCTTCACAGTGTCGGAGTACCACAGCAGTGTTAAACAGCGAGAAGGTAAGTCTTACCTCTGGTTTCCTGATAAAATAATCTGAATTACATGTGGAAATACATGCCTCATGTCTGAAGTGAGGGCTGGAGTGCTGTTGGGAAGAGAGCTGAACTAAGGGGATTGGGGAAACACAGCTCTGATGCAAGAGATCTGGAACATCTGTCAGAAAGGGAGACCGCTCTGTTAGCTGTGCCTGAGTCAGTAAGGATCTTCCACCGTTACATCAGAACCAAGCTGCCTTCATTTCCAGGAGGGTGGGACTGAGGAACTCATCACCTATATGTTTCCTGCAGGACAGCTGAAGAGTGGTTTTAACTGACATTAGTTTGCGTGGTCAAAACAATTATAAAAAGGATCTGGGGGAAGTAAGTCTTGTCCATCTGTGCTGCAT